CCGAGAAGCTTCTTCAGTTCTAAGGTCAAATGGTGGAGAGTCCCAGATTTAAGCTCTGTGGGAGTAACCCCCCTCAGAGGGACAAAGGACCCCCTGATGATCCACTAACTAATCACATGAGCCAAGGTGTGAAAACAGGTGTGGGTCCCAATCAGCCAGGGTTTCGGGTGAGCTCATTGTGAAACCTTGCCCCACCCTATCATGTGATTTCCTGAGGTCCCATGGCCCAGGATGTGAGTGTGCGTTAAGGCATCTGGGAAGGGATCTCAAAACTGGATTATAGATGGCAGACAGTTGGTGTCGTAAACCACCGCCTTTGTTCAAAGATGGTCGCTCACAGTGGACAAAAATGGCTTTTTTCACTCCTCTTTCAAACCATCTGTCCTCTCTGTCCAAAATGTGAACATTGGCATCCTCAAAGAGTGACCTTTGACCTTTAGATGCAGATGGACTGCTGAGTCTTGTCCCGTGGAGGTGGCTCTTCTATGTGCACTTGTGAAGTGGCTGTTTGGTCTCTCCAATGTAGAGGTCTGGGCATTCCTCACTGCACTGTACAGCAAACACCACATTGTTAAGTTTGTGTTTTGGAGTTTTGTTTTTGTTGTTTGAGTCACTAAATCAGGAACTCTGCCTCCTTTTGTTCTCACACTGGGTTTAATGAAAGAAGATTTCTGTTTTTTCCATTAAAGTTATTTGTTGTGATCTTTTAAAGAATCCTGTGATGATCCAGAGCCTGGCTTGTCTCAAGGAGTCTATCAGTGACCTGAGCAGCAGCTACAGCTCTGCAGTTGCAGTGAGGAAAGGTGAGTCATCCTTTAGCAGGACATCATTCAGGCTTTATTAGCATCACTGTGACTGTTATTGTGTGTGTTTGTATGAGGTTTCCTCTGCTGGTCTCAGACAGCAGCAGAAACATCAGCCTCCCTGTCAGTGGAGATCAGTTCTTATGTGCTGTTGGCCAAACTCAGCACCTCCCCCACTGCTGAGGATCTGGGATATGCCTCTGGTATTATCAGGTGGCTGACTGGGCAGCAGAACTATTACAGAGGCTTCTCCTCCACTCAGGTACTACACCACCCGAACAGCATAAAGCTAATCTTTGAGTTCATATACAGTCTTGGACCAAATCAGAAGAAATAATCCTGAAGCTTTTATGTTGCTGCTGTGCTTTTCTCTCAGATATGCAGACTTGTTTTAGCAGGCAGGGATGTTTTTATTCTTTATTTACAATATGAAATTTACTTTGGTCTAAAAATGTGTTGTTTTAACAGTGTTAAAACTGTGCACCAACTACACGTAACAGCCTGTAAATAACAGCTCACCTGCAGTCTGTAAGTTTCTACCTGTGATTTCTCTACTTTGTTTCTCTGAGATCATCTCTTTTAAACACATTTAACCTGTTTAACCTTTATTTAACCAGGAAGTGAAGGTTAGAAACTCTACTCTCGTACTGTAAGTATGTGACAGGTTAGAGGAGAGCTCTGTACCAGCGTGGAGTCACTGTTGGTGGATGAAGAGCATGTGTGCACACTGTTCAAACACAGCTACAGTGGGAAGGAGAAAACTACAAACATGGTGGTCCTGGATGTTCCCCAGAGTGTGAGTAATTAGACAGACTCTATCAACACATGTGTGTCATGTGATCACTGTGATGATGTCATCTCCTCACAGCTCAAACGTGGCCTCCTGGTGAGTCATGTTGAACCAAAGGAAGATCATGTTCTGGTGTCCTTAGAGGAGGTCATAGAAGTCCACAGTGGGGACACCAGATGATGATCTTTGGTACAAACTGTGTCTGCGATTGTTTCTGTCTCGTCCAGTTATCATAGACACTCCCATCAACCACAGAGATCATCCAGGAGCTCCCAGTGGACAACCTGAAGCCAGCCGTGGTCCAGATCTATGACGTAGCTTAAATAAAGCAATATCAATTCTTAAATCCTGAATCAAATTTAAAATATAAATGTATTTTGCCAGAAAAGCCAGAATCCCAGGTTAAAGCCCGTTAAACCAAACAGCTGAAACAGTAAATGATAGCAGGTACACGGATTCTGCACAAAGACGTAAACACAAAGCGTAGACCTGACGCTTTCTCACCCGACAGCACTTACATAGACACGCCGTCGGGGCTGAAAGCCGACAGCTCACAGGTCCTGATGCGTCGGGTCCACGTTCTGTGTTCATGTCTTTTTTTGAGCTAGTTTCAGAAGCTGCAGGTTTCATCACTCTCCAACCAAAAGGAACTGAACCAGCAGCAAAAGAAGATCCAAACTATGCTTCACATTTGATAAACATTGTCATGAATTCCCTCTGACTTTTGCAGTTCTGCTTCCACTATGATAAAAACTTCCTGCACAGTTCTCTCTCTCTCCCTCTCTCTCTCTCTCTCAGTGTACTTCAAGAACAGTTTCCCATCTCAAATCCTTTATTTCTGCATTAATCGTTCGCTTATTAACAAAAAGTCATGTACAGCACTGTTGTCGGCTGTTTTTTCCCTCCAAAAATGACCTCCAACAAGCAAGCCTCATCTCTGCTGTTTAATTGCGAAGAAATGTAAACCTTTTTGAAATTATGCCAAATTGCAAAACGCTTAGCTGTGTGTCTCCAATCAAACCTCTGTAACATTGCTCTGCTTCACTTCAGCAGCATCAGGTAATGTTCATATGTGGATTCATGGTTTTTTCCTCAGTTTTTGATCGACTGCAGAATATTTTTAAGGTTATCTTCCAGAAAAAGCCAGGCCAGGAAAATCTCCTTCATGTTCTGTGTTTTATCCTCAGTTACTTTGACACAAAGGCATCTGCTGTGATGTTCACACCTCTGATAAAGTCTCACAAGTATCAGTACTGATAAATGATCAGAATTATAATATTTCTGACTGTCTAAGTCAAAATTAAATCAAATCGAATCGGGTCCTTTTGAATCAGAATCGAATGGATGATAGAAATCAGCAACGATACCCAGCCTTAGTAAGTAGCCTAGGCCCGACAGAAGTGGATGTAGCTGTGGGTAATGAGAAAAGATAAAAAGAATGATTGTTAAGTGCTTGAAGCAGACTATACTCTCACCAGCACCAGCTGGAGTTGGACCCACTCCCTGTGAACTTCTTTGGTAGTTGTCCTCAATGCAACTCTTTTTGGGATAACACATATGATAATGCTCCCTCTCGTTAAGTCAAAGCCTGATCCGTCTGAAATTCATAGCCAGTGTTCTGACACGGAGCCATCAACCTCTGAGCTCTGAAAAAGCACAGTGTATCCAAAAAAAAAAATTATATGTTGTGATAAATGCACTGCCCAAGTGTTTCCTCTCCCCAGTGCCTTTCAGCGGGAGGCAGCAGCAAACAGGTCTTCAGATGATGATTAAGTTTAACATTGCCAAAGCACTTTAAGCACAAATAATCCTACAAATAATGAAGATTGTGTTGACAAGATTGTTAGTTAATCATCTACTCTATTGTCTGTATGGACAGCATTTTAAAAAAAAAAAAAAAAAAGAAAATGGAAAAACAGTGGGGTTAAAGGACGCGGTTGAAAATAATTGGGTGCACTTAACTTTTGTGCTGGTGTACCTAGGAAAAAAAAATTAGGTTCACCAGTGCAACTGAGGAAAAAGTTAGTCTAGAGCCCTGGCATGTGAACTTTACTCAAATTAGACTCACTCTGATCCAGTCTGAGCAGTCAGACGACATATTTTGAGTCCAGCACATGAAGGTGTGGGCCTCTCACACACTCTTCAGGTAGAGTCCCGCCTCCTTCCAGGAAGCAGCTCACCTGTTTAGTGTCCAGGTGGATTGGAGCTTGTTGTTGGTGTGTGTGTTTGAAGAAACTGTAAGTTTGCTTTGTTTCCTCCTTTAACAGTTTTACTGTTTGTTTCTGTGATACTTGAATCAGATGTTCAGCTCTTGTTTCAGGACAAACTTTGATCACTCTTGTGTTTGAAGACAAATCCACATGATTATAGATTATTGATTAGCTGAATCCACTCTGGTTATTTGTCAGTAATTCTCCACTGAAACATGTGTTACTGTGATGAACAGTTCAGATGTGTGAAACTTTAGACACTGATCAGTGATTTTCCTTTAACTGGAAACAATGAGATAAACTCAGTTTGTTCTTAGGAAGTTGGTGTTCATATATCTGCATGTGGAGGATTTTACTCGAGTCATAATGTGCAGGAAAGCATTTGGACTCGGCAGCTTTTCCATGTCTTTGTGTATTTAATCAGTGGATTTGAGTCTGAGTTTTCTTTTGGCATTTGAAGCTTTGAATCATTCCTAGTTGGTCAGAGTGAGTCTTGTGTTTCTAGTTTGTGGTCTTTGGGTTGTTTTGTTGAGGCCTTTGAAATTTGTTCCTTCTGAGTTTTCAGTCTAATTGAAGCTCACTTGATGTTATTTGAGCTACTCATTTAAAGTTTCACACGTATGTTCCCCGATCACCACACAACATGCAGTCAGACCCACTAAAAAAAACTCAATCATTAACCATTAATAGCAATAACATAACTTTATAATAAATGAATAATAGTTTATTATAAAGTCCTTCTACATCAAACACTAAGTGAAGCCAGTTTGTTGGAAATGTTCGGGTGTAAAGATCTGAATCACTTTAACAAGGATCACAGGAAGCAGTCTGATCCAGACTTTGTTCTTTAACAAAAACTCACATTTATTCATGAGAACAGAAGAAGGAACAGAGGAGAATAAAGTGTGAATAACCTGGTTAATATGTGGAGTATGACACACTCAGACGTGAAGATGTTCAGGGAAGCATTTCTCTGCTGACAGCTGATGATTGAGGCGTCACAGAAACTGATGGAAGAGAACAGGAAGTGAGTTTTTTTTAACTTTATACCGAACAAATATGATGTTTAATCTGGATTCATGTGTGCTCTTTTTACAGCTCTGTTAAATAACATGTTGTTACTGGTGATGCTTCACAGAGATCAGCTGTGCTGTAAACTGAAACTATGCTGCATGCAGTTGCAAGTTTTTGTATTTTAAACTCCCATGAAGAATGTTTCCTTGGCTGAAAACACCAAACATACATTTGTGTTTGTCATGAACATGATGAAACAAAGAAGAGAGCTTCTTGTGTTCTTCGCTTTTCCTCAATAAGCAGTCAATCAATCCCTTTCTGTTCTCAGAATGTTTGCTTGTGGTTCCTTATTTTCAAACACGAGCCTGTGAAGTCTGTAGGTTGTGAATGTTTTGCTTTGCTGTGTTAAAATCCCAGAAACATGTGAGGCTCAGATCACATCTATCCGAAAGCTTAAATCAGGACACTAATTAAATGTTAAAGCGTGTTCTCCATATCAGAGATTTAGATTAGAGAATTCGAGATTACTAAGTCTGGTCTTATTGTTCAAAGACATGTTACCGTACCAAGCAATGGTACAGAACGTAAAAACAGATTCAATAAAAGTTTTATAGAAAAGGGTTTCAGATGAAATGTTAAAAACTCTCAGTCTCCTTAAAAAGTACAGCCGTTGTTAAACTTTAAAGGACAGAGCCTCATCGAGAACAACCCCCAATTACTTATAACTGCCCACTAATTCAATGGCTGCACCATTTACAACTGTTAGTGGAGGATGGGGGATTGTCTTGCTGAAGTCAAGCTTTGTTTCTGTTTAAAACAACCTCGGTGACCAAAGTAGTGCACAGTCTAAAGAAAATATGTCATTAAGTTAACAATAAATATTCACTAAAATATGCAATAAATTCATAAAGCTCAATTAAGGATTAATAAAAACAGTTAGTTCATAGACTTCAGGGCTCTGAGGTCTATCAATTTAATATAACAGATAACATTGTAACTAATTACATAATGTAGATACTTATTATTTTAAATAAAAGTAAATTACTATTCATGAGTAAAAACCCAACACTGCACATCAGCATCTGAGACGGCACACACACACACACACACAGACACACACAGTTGTTATAT